CTTAAATGACCTCAGCAAGGCCGTTTTGTGGTCCAAGTCTCCGGAGTGACGCGATGCCTTGATGGCCACAAAGTCCCTGGAGAAAAGAAAGTACTTCACTGTAGGAGGTGGCTTGTCATTCGGTGTGTGTGTGCGTGTGTGTGTGTGTGTGTGTGTGTGTGTGTGTGTGTGTGTGTGTGTGTGTGTACCTGAGCAGCTCTGCAGAGGAGAGTGAACTCCAAGCCGACTGCATCTGCTCTATCTCCTCACTGAAGACCCCCAGGGTCAGGAGACTCTGCAGGGCGGAGTTCAGATAGCAGCTCTGTCCAAGGTTGGGGAGCCTGAGAAACACACACACGACAATAAGTAAGTCGCAAGGCTTCACCTCACTACAGCACTATCAACCAGGAACCAGGAAGGGGCACCCAAGAAGCATGTACTTTGTGTTTCTGTGCAGTGTTTATTCAGATACCATAAATCAGCAGTCATTTTGTGGGCCACAAACAAGTCTATATTCATAAAATGAAGATACATATATCTCTTTTAAAATACTGCTGCACAATTATCAGTGTAATGGTTCTTATTATTATACCGTGCAATTGTTACATGCATTCAAATGAATAATATGCCAATATAGTGCTACAAACGGGGTGCAGGCTCCTTCCGTATATATGTGAGGACCATCTACTGGATGTCTGCAGTAGCGCAGTTATATTAATTTCATTAAACCAACCGGCTGCCGTAGAAATGACCCCCCTGTCGTAGACACTACTGGTGTCTCCACTGTGGGTTGGTGTGTATGAGCCCATCCATCAAGAACTCACCCCAAGAAGTCCAGCTGCTGCTCTGTGAGGGGAGGGAGGGTGGGCAGGCTGTTGAGGACGCCACCAGACTGGGATACGGCCCCCTGAACCAGGGCCCCGTCGATGGAGGGTCCGGCCTGCACCCCATCACCCTTAATGTCCCCCTGAGGGGTCCTAGCGTCCATACTGGTTCAAACACAGATATATAGTTACTGTTAAGTCGTTTTATTGATGACACATTTATCCAATGAGGCTTACAATGAATGTTCAGATACATTAATAAGCAGGTACAATTACGCCATCTTGTTTAAGGATGCTTAAAGTTAGACTGTGGACATTGAGATTTAAACCCTTTTGGCGGGGAGTCCAATACACTAACCACTAGAGTACTCTGCCCCCACAATGTGGTACAATATAGTATATCAAAAGGCTTTTCAAAGTTACATTCAGATGGCATTTAACAACACAAGTTTCATGTGGAGATCTACATTGAGATTCAGAGTGTTCAAAAATAACTGTCACTGTCACAATTGCTTTGCTAAAGATAGAACAATTATAATAATGATAATGACAATGATAATGATAATAATAATAATAATAATAATAATAATAATAATAATAATAATAAAATATGAGTAAAAGATGAAGGTAATAAGATATCAAAGTGTGAGATATAGAAATTGTATATACACGAAAATGTGCATACAGTATCAAATCTGAATAAATATGATGAATACAAGAATAAATAAATATGTTTCTTTATAGGTGAACATGCGTCAGTGTGGCGAGTGGTTACAGTAGTGGGGATGGGCCTCTATGTGTGTAAATGATGGGTCAGTTAAGTCATCTATTACCTGAGCTGTTGACCACCTTCACCTTCTTTTCTTCCTACCAACTTCGGCTCCTGTTTTCGCTGTTGCAAGTAATAAAGTACGTAACAGTAATAGTGAGTAAAATACATTTCAGTAATACATGGACAATACATGGAGAATACATTATCTAATACATACTTATTTAATATAGACTACGAATACACAAGGAACACACCATTTTAACTAAATAAATGAATCTTATTTTGGGGGACACTTTTATCCTAAGTGTCTTAACATGCATACATTCTAACAAGTGTGGGAATCGAACCCCTAACCCTGGCAGTGTGAATGCTCTAGCTCCACACAAGAACCACTACGCAGAACCACTACGGACTATGATACTTAAATAGGACTGATTCAGTAAGTTGACTAAGACTGAGTGAGACCAACCTTGGGGAGGCGAAGCGGCCCCCAGCACTTCAACCACCTCTTGGGTTGGTGCCCGGTCTCGGGTGGAGGAGCTGGGGTTTCTCTGGGAGGGAGGGTGGGCAGGCTGGTGAGGACGCCTCCAGACTGGGATACGGCCCCCTGGACCAGGGCCCCGTCGATGGAGGGTCCGGCCTGCACCCCATCACCCTGAATGTCCCCCTGAGGGGTCTTAGTGTCCATACTGTCTCAAACACAGAAATATAGTTACTGTTAAGTTGTTTTATTGATGACACATTTATCCAATGAGGCTTACAGTGAATGTTCAGATACATTAATAAGCAAAGTACAATTCATGGCATCTTGTTTAAGGATGCTTAAAGTTAGACTGTGGACATTGAGCTTTAAACCCTTTGGGCTGGGAGTCCAATACCCTAACCACTAGAGTACTCTGCCCCCACAATGAGATACAATATAGTATATCAAAAGGCTTTTCAAAGTTACATTCAGATGGCATTTAACAACACAAGTTTCATGTGGAGATCTACATTGAGATTCAGAGTACTAAAAATGAACTGTTACTATCACAATTGCAATAATAATGAACATAGAAGTAGAAGATTAAAGTAATAAGATATCAAAGTGTGAAATATAGAACATGTATATACACAAAAATGTGCATACAATACAAAATCTGAATAATATGATTAATACATGAATACATAAATATGTCACAGGTGAACATGCGTCAGTGTGGCGAGCGGTTACAGTAGTGGGAATGGGCCTCTATGTGTAAATGATGGGTCAGTTAAGTCATCTATTACCTGAGCTGTTTACCACCTTTACAATGCTCTTTTCCTCCTACCAACTTCTGCTCCCGTTTTCGCTGTTGCAAGTAATAAAGTACATAACAGTAATAGTGAGTAAAATACATTTCAGTAATACATGGACAATACATGGAGAATACATTATCTAATACATACTTATTTAATATAGACTACGAATACACAAGGAACAGACAATTTTAACTAAATAAATGAATCTTATTTTGGGGGACACTTTTATCCAAAGTGTCTTAACATGCATTCTAACGTGTGGGAATCGAACCCCTAACCCTGGCAGTGTGAACACCATGCTCTACAAGGTAGAGCTAGAGTTGGACCACTACGGACTATGATACTTAAATAGGACTGAATCAGTAAGTTGACTAATGGCCTGGTCAGACTATACGATTTTTTTTGTCGCTCACGATTGTCGTTTACGATCTACCATGTCACACTATACGATTTTAGAACCATGAAAACCTCTCCGCGTCTTGGTCGGGGGAGTGGCCACATACACCGACAGCATCGGTCGCGTCGCACGTTGTCATAGCAGCAGCTGTCAACAAAAGGCTGGGCGATCACAATAATACAATGATGGATACAGACGCGCTTGGTGTCGTACTTGCTGTCTTCTGTGCGGAGAAGAAAAATAAAAAGAAGAAACGAGTGCGGACTCGCTCACGGGTATCACGAAGAGGAGAATACGGGATGTCTGTCCAATTGAACTTTAATGCACGAGCGCCAGCTGTGGAATTCCCGGGAGTTTTTCATACAGTAGGCTATGATGTCAACAATGGAAACGTCATACGACTCCCGTCAAATTTCTGACAAGCCAGACTTTTTGTCGGGCTGTTTTAGAACGTCGTGAACGACAAATCGCAAGTCGTGAAGCATGTCACATTATACGATTCACTCCGCGTTCGATGTCGTGCCCGACCATTTGAAATCGGATACGACGCTGTAAACTTGTCGGTCACGACAAATTCGGGGCAAAATCGGGCTGAAATCGTATAGTCTGACCAGGCCATAAGACTGAGTGAGACCAACCTTGGGGAGGCGAAGCCGCCCCCAGCACATCGACCACCTCTTGGGTTGGTGCCCGGTCTCGGGTGGAGGAGCTGGGGTTGCTCTGGGAGGGAGGGTGGGCAGGCTGGTGAGGACGCCACCAGACTGGGATACAGCCCCCTGGACCAGGGCCCCGTCGATGGAGGGTCCGGCCTGCACCCCATCACCCTTAATGTCCCCCTGAGGGGTCCTAGCATCCATACTGTTTCAAACACAGAAATATAGTTACTGTTAAGTCGTTTTATTGATGACACATTTATCCAATGAGGCTTACAGTGAATGTTCAGATACATTAATAAGCAAAGTACAATTTATGGCATCTTGTTTAAGGATGCTTAAAGTTAGACTGTGGACATTGAGCTTTAAACCTTTATGGCTGGGAGTCCAATACACTAACCACTAGAGTACTCTACCCCCACAATGTGGTACAATATAGTATATCAAAAGGCTTTTCAAAGTTACATTCAGATGGCATTAACAACACAAGTTTCATTTGGAGATCTACATTGAGATTCAGAGTACTAAAAATTAACTGTTACTGTCACAATTGCTCTGCAAAAGATAGAACAATTATAATAATAATGAACATAGAAGTAGAAGATTAAAGTAATAAGATATCAAAGTGTGAAATATAGAACATGTATATACACAAAAATGTGCATACAATACAAAATCTGAATAATATGATTAATACATGAATACATAAATATGTCACAGGTGAACATGCGTCAGTGTGGCGAGTGGTTACAGTAGTGGGAATGGGCCTCTATGTGTAAATGATGGGTCAGTTAAGTCATACCTGAGCTGTTTACCACCTTTACGATGCTCTTTTCCTCCTACCAACTTCTGCTCCCGTTTTCGCTGTTGCAAGTAATAAAGTACATAACAGTAATAGTGAGTAAAATACATTTCAGTAATACATGGACAATACATGGACAATACATTATCTAATACATGAATCGAGATTAAACGATATAAGCTGAAGTCACTTATTTAATATAGACTACGGATACACAAGGAACACACAAGTTTAACTGAATTAATTAATCTTATTTTGGGGGACACTTTTATCCAAAGTGTCTTAACATGCATTCTAACAAGTGTGGGAATCGAACCCCTAACCCTGGCAGTGTGAACACCATGCTCTACAAGGTAGAGCTAGTGTTGGACCACTACGGACTATGATTCTTAAATAGGACTGATTCAGTAAGTCGACTAAGACTGAGTGAGACCAACCTTGGGGAGGCGAATCCGCCCCCAGCACTTCAACCACCTCTTGGGTTGGTGCCCGGTCTCGGGTGGAGGAGCTGGGGTTGCTCTGGGAGGGAGGGTGGGCAGGCTGGTGAGGACGCCACCAGACAGGGATACGGCCCCCTGGACCAGGGCCCCGTCGATGGAGGGTCCGGCCTGCACCCCATCACCCTGAATGTCCCCCTGAGGGGTCCTAGCGTCCATACTGGTTCAAACACAGATATAGAGTTACTGTTAAGTCGTTTTATTGTTGACATATATTTATCCAATGAGGCTTACAGTGAATGTTCAGATACATTAATAAGCAAAGTACAATTTACGGCATCTTGTTTAAGGATGCTTAAAGTTAGACTGTGGACATTGAGCTTTAAACCCTTCGGCTGGGAGTCCAACACCCTAACCACTAGAGTACTCTGCCCCACAATGTGGTACAATATAGTATATCAAAGGCTTTTCAAAGTTACATTCAGATGGCATTTAACAACACAAGTTTCATGTGGAGATCTACATTGAGATTCAGAGTACTAAAAAATAACTGTTACTGTCACAATTGCTCTGCTAAAGATAGAAAAAAAAAAAAATAATAATAATAATAATACTAATGAAAACATAAGTAAAAGATGAAGGTAATAAGATATCAAAGTGTGAGATATAGAAAATGTATATACACAAAAATGTGCATACAATATACAATCTTAATAAATATGATTAATACATGAATAAATAAATATGTTTCTTAATAGGTGAACATGCGTCAGTGTGGCAAGTGGTTACAGTAGTGGGGATGGGCCTCTATGTGTGTAAATGATGGGTCAGTTAAGTCATCTATTACCTGAGCTGTTGACCACCTTCACCTTCTTTTCCTCCTTCCAACTTCTGCTCCTGTTTTCGCTGTTGCAAGTAATAAAGTACGTAACAGTAATAGTGAGTAAAATACATTTCAGTAATACATGGACAATACATGGAGAATACATTATCTAATACATGAATCGAGATTAAACAATATAAGCTGAAGTCACTTATTTAATATAGACTATGAATACACAAGGAACAGACAATTCTAACTAAATAAATTAATCTTATTTTGGGGGACACTTTTATCCAAAGTGTCTTAACATGCATTCTAACATGTGTGGGAATCGAACCCCTAACCCTGGCAGTGTGAATGCTCTAGCTCCACACAAGAACCACTACGCAGAACCACTACGGACTATGATACTTAAATAGGACTGATTCAGTAAGTTGACTAAGACTGAGTGAGACCAACCTTGGGGAGGCGAAGCGGCCCCCAGCACTTCAACCACCTCTTGGGTTGGTGCTCGGTCTCGGGTGGAGGAGCTGGGGTTTCTCTGGGAGGGAGGGTGGGCAGGCTGGTGAGGACGCCACCAGACAGGGATACGGCCCCCTGGACCAGGGCCCCGTCGATGGAGGGTCCGGCCTGCACCTCGTCACCCTGAATGTCCCCCTGAGGGGTCCTAGTGTCCATACTGGTTCAAACACAGATATAGAGTTACTGTTAAGTCGTTTTATTGTTGACATATATTCATCCAATGAGGCTTACAGTGAATGTTCAGATACATTAATAAGCAAAGTACAATTTACGGCATCTTGTTTAAGGATGCTTAAAGTTAGACTGTGGACATTGAGCTTTAAACCCTTCGGCTGGGAGTCCAACACCCTAACCACTAGAGTACTCTGCCCCCACAATGTGGTACAATATAGTATATCAAAGGCTTTTCAAAGTTACATTCAGATGGCATTTAACAACACAAGTTTCATGTGGAGATCTACATTGAGATTCAGAGTACTAAAAAATAACTGTTACTGTCACAATTGCTCTGCTAAAGATAGAAAAATAATAATAATAATAATAATAATAATAATAATAATAACAACAATAATGAAAACATAAGTAAAATATGAAGGTAATAAGATATCAAAGTGTGAGATATAGAAAATGTATATACACAAAAATGTGCATACAATATACAATCTTAATAAATATGATTAATACATGAATAAATAAATATGTTTCTTAATAGGTGAACATGCGTCAGTGTGGCGAGTGGTTACAGTAGTGGGGATGGGCCTCTATGTGTGTAAATGATGGGTCAGTTAAGTCATCTATTACCTGAGCTGTTGACCACCTTCACCTTCTTTTCCTCCTTCCAACTTCTGCTCCTGTTTTCGCTGTTGCAAGTAATAAAGTACGTAACAGTAATAGTGATTAAAATACATTTCAGTAATACATGGACAATACATGGAGAATACATTATCTAATACATGAATCGAGATTAAACAATATAAGCTGAAGTCACTTATTTAATATAGACTATGAATACACAAGGAACAGACAATTCTAACTAAATAAATTAATCTTATTTTGGGGGACACTTTTATCCAAAGTGTCTTAACATGCATTCTAACATGTGTGGGAATCGAACCCCTAACCCTGGCAGTGTGAATGCTCTAGCTCCACACAAGAACCACTACGCAGAACCACTACGGACTATGATACTTAAATAGGACTGATTCAGTAAGTTGACTAAGACTGAGTGAGACCAACCTTGGGGAGGCGAAGCGGCCCCCAGCACTTCAACCACCTCTTGGGTTGGTGCTCGGTCTCGGGTGGAGGAGCTGGGGTTTCTCTGGGAGGGAGGGTGGGCAGGCTGGTGAGGACGCCACCAGACAGGGATACGGCCCCCTGGACCAGGGCCCCGTCGATGGAGGGTCCGGCCTGCACCTCATCACCCTGAATGTCCCCCTGAGGGGTCCTAGTGTCCATACTGGTTCAAACACAGATATAGAGTTACTGTCAAGTCGTTTTATTGTTGACATATATTCATCCAATGAGGCTTACAGTGAATGTTCAGATACATTAATAAGCAAAGTACAATTTACGGCATCTTGTTTAAGGATGCTTAAAGTTAGACTGTGGACATTGAGCTTTAAACCCTTCGGCTGGGAGTCCAACACCCTAACCACTAGAGTACTCTGCCCCCACAATGTGGTACAATATAGTATATCAAAGGCTTTTCAAAGTTACATTCAGATGGCATTTAACAACACAAGTTTCATGTGGAGATCTACATTGAGATTCAGAGTACTAAAAAATAACTGTTACTGTCACAATTGCTCTGCTAAAGATAGAAAAATAATAATAATAATAATAATAATAATAATAATAATAATAATAATAATAACAATGAAAACATAAGTAAAAGATGAAGGTAATAAGATATCAAAGTGTGAGATATAGAAAATGTATATACACAAAAATGTGCATACAATATACAATCTTAATAAATATGATTAATACATGAATAAATAAATACGTTTCTTAATAGGTGAACATGCGTCAGTGTGGCGAGTGGTTACAGTAGTGGGGATGGGCCTCTATGTGTGTAAATGATGGGTCAGTTAAGTCATCTATTACCTGAGCTGTTGACCACCTTCACCTTCTTTTCCTCCTTCCAACTTCTGCTCCTGTTTTCGCTGTTGCAAGTAATAAAGTACGTAACAGTAATAGTGATTAAAATACATTTCAGTAATACATGGACAATACATGGAGAATACATTATCTAATACATGAATCGAGATTAAACGATATAAGCTGAAGTCACTTATTTAATATAGACTATGAATACACAAGGAACAGACAATTCTAACTAAATAAATTAATCTTATTTTAGGGGACACTTTTATCCAAAGTGTCTTAACATGCATTCTAACATGTGTGGGAATCGAACCCCTAACCCTGGCAGTGTGAATGCTCTAGCTCCACACAAGAACCACTACGCAGAACCACTACGGACTATGATACTTAAATAGGACTGATTCAGTAAGTTGACTAAGACTGAGTGAGACCAACCTTGGGGAGGCGAAGCAGCCCCCAGCACTTCAACCACCTCTTGGGTTGGCGCCCGGTCTCGGGTGGAGGAGCTGGGGTTTCTCTGGGAGGGAGGGTGGGCAGGCTGGTGAGGACGCCACCAGACAGGGATACGGCCCCCTGGACCAGGGCCCCGTCGATGGAGGGTCCGGCCTGCACCTCGTCACCCTGAATGTCCCCCTGAGGGGTCCTAGTGTCCATACTGGTTCAAACACAGATATAGAGTTACTGTCAAGTCGTTTTATTGTTGACATATATTCATCCAATGAGGCTTACAGTGAATGTTCAGATACATTAATAAGCAAAGTACAATTTACGGCATCTTGTTTAAGGATGCTTAAAGTTAGACTGTGGACATTGAGCTTTAAACCCTTCGGCTGGGAGTCCAACACCCTAACCACTAGAGTACTCTGCCCCCACAATGTGGTACAATATAGTATATCAAAGGCTTTTCAAAGTTACATTCAGATGGCATTTAACAACACAAGTTTCATGTGGAGATCTACATTGAGATTCAGAGTACTAAAAAATAACTGTTACTGTCACAATTGCTCTGCTAAAGATAGAAAAATAATAATAATAATAATAATAATAATAATAATAATAACAATGAAAACATAAGTAAAAGATGAAGGTAATAAGATATCAAAGTGTGAGATATAGAAAATGTATATACACAAAAATGTGCATACAATATACAATCTTAATAAATATGATTAATACATGAATAAATAAATACGTTTCTTAATAGGTGAACATGCGTCAGTGTGGCGAGTGGTTACAGTAGTGGGGATGGGCCTCTATGTGTGTAAATGATGGGTCAGTTAAGTCATCTATTACCTGAGCTGTTGACCACCTTCACCTTCTTTTCCTCCTTCCAACTTCTGCTCCTGTTTTCGCTGTTGCAAGTAATAAAGTACGTAACAGTAATAGTGAGTAAAATACATTTCAGTAATACATGGACAATACATGGAGAATACATTATCTAATACATGAATCGAGATTAAACGATATAAGCTGAAGTCACTT